AGGGAGAATAAGAGAGAGAGCACATGAGAGGGGGAGGGTCAGAGGGAGAAGCAGACTCCCTGCTGAGCAGGGAGCCCGATGCGGGACTGGATCCAGGGACTCCAGGATCATGACCTGAGCCGAAGGCAGTCGCTTAACCAACTGAGCCACCCAGGCGCCCAAGGTATAATTTTCAAAAAGGTTGAAAACATGACTCCCATACATGTATAGAATGAAGAAGTGTTAAAGATTTCATTCAGCTTTCTAATGAGAGAACTAGAGAAGTGGTAAAACCAGTTCAATAAGAATTAGAGGAATAGGAATTACCTTCACAGGAAAAGACATTCTGATACAACTTTGCTAAGTGTGAGATAAAACTGGTTAATATCTCTACAGGGCAATAAAATTGTAACCTTTAGGATTATCCTTTTTACTAGATGGAAGTTATTTGCATCTCTACTGGACAAGGTTTACAAGTTAACAGTAACCACACAGAGATGGACCTCTTATCTAATAGTAAGTAGAAAAAGCAAACATAGTGACAATCCCCTAAAAAAGTTAATAATTCTTGGATGAGCTTGTTAAACAATGCCCCAGTGTATTAAGCTTCCCGGAGTTGCTGTAACAAATTACCACAAACTGGGGAGCTCAAAACACCAGAAATGTATCTGCTTACTGTTCAAGAGGCCAGATATCTGAGATCAGGGTGTCCCCCGTGCTGGTTCCTTCTGGAGGCTGTGAGGGAGGATCTGTCCTATGCTTCTCTCTTAGCTTCTCCTGGTTGCTGCCCATCCTTGGGGCTCCTTAGCCTGTAGACACATCACTCCCATCTCTGCCTCTGCCATCACAGGGCATTTCTTCTCTGTGTGTCTGTTTCCCTGTCTTTCTTCTCTTCTAAGGACACCAGCCATATTGGATTTAGGGCACACCCTACTCCGGTATGACCTCATCTTAACTAATTACATCTCCAAAATCCCTATTTCCAAATAGGGTCACATTCTGAGGTTCTGGGAAGGACATGAATTCACTCTGTGTGTGTGTGTGTGTGTGTGTGTGTGTGTGTGGTGTGTATTCAACCTAATATACCCAGTAAGAGAGTTAAGGGACACACCACCTACTTTTTTTTTTTTTTTTGGCCTTATTTCCAAGTTTTAAAGACTTTTTCTTAACAACAGCAGTCACTTCCCCAGTCCCACCTCCACTGATGTCTCATACATTGTAACCGGAGTCATCCAGCTGAGGCTAGCTCTATATGTGTTGATATGATACAAAGGAAAGACACTAAGTATGTATCTAATAAAAAAGTAAGGTCTAGATCACATAGGGATGTTTGAATATAATCATACAAAAGGCTTTGATAATAATAATAGTGCAGGTCTCAGGTCACTCAGTTACCATTTTGGGAGAAGTCATTATCATGAGCTGTTTGGGTATGTAATGTGTCCCTGGAATTATTAAGGCTGATTCAGGAGAGTAGGTCTTGACACACATTAAGAACAGAGGAGGAAATTTTAAGTTAAGTTTTAGGCTTCCCTGCCCTTTTTTGTTTGTTTGTTTAAATGATAGCTTTTTTTTTTTTTTTAAAGATTTTATTTATTTGACAGAGAGAGAGATAGTGAGAGCAGGAACACAAGTAGGGGGAGTGGGAGAGCGAGAAGCAGGCTTCCTGCTGAGCAGGGAGCCCAATGTGGGACTCGATTCCAGGACCCTGGGATCATGACCTGAGCTGAAGGCAGACGCTTAACGACTGAGCCACCCAGGCACCCTAAATGATAGCTTTTTAATAGGATATCCAGTTAACCAGGATTTAGGATTTTTTAACAGAGGAGCTAACAGCACTTATCTGGGTTAGCCTCTGTACCAAGTGTCTTTAGAGTAAATTTTGGGGGGGCTGGAGAAAGGAGTCACGTCAAGGGCCCTTCAGCCATACAAATGTAATTTGAGTAGGGATCCATTCCTCTGGTCATTTAATAGGAGCCTTTTTGGCTAGACTTTGTACTGGAGAACCCTGGCTGGTGGAGACAGTTCCTGAATTAGCAGGTGGGTAGATTTGGGAATAAGGGGAGTGAGGCTCATCTGCTATCCTTTCACTCCTGAGATTCCATGTTGAGGCTTTTTCTGATGAATCAAGATGGCTCTGACCCAGCTGAAGTCAACTGATGGGAAAGGTCACCTAGGACTCAAATGAGAACCCATTTATCTATCCATTCACCTACCTACCTACCTACCTATCTACCTACCTACCTACCTACCTACCTACCTATCTACTTACATAATCTATCTATTTGGGTGAGGATGTATCTGGGCTGGTGAACTAGGCTCACCACAGGCATTAAATATTTGTGGTCTTCCTAAATCTGTTCTAGCAGAGTGTCATGCTGGAAAAAATGGCCGAGCATGTAGTTGAACTAAAGGTGATATAACCTTAAGGTCCAGGTGTAGAACATGACTGTGTTTGAAACCAAGAAGCCATAACTGCTAACTGGGCATCCATCAGGCATGGTGGCAGCCCCAGAGAGATGGTGCTGGGCTTGAGCTGCAAAACTCAGACTTTTCCTCTGCCTGGGCCTAGGGGGTGGGCAACTGAACTTTGAATTCTTGGCACTGAGATGGCAGGTATAAGGAAGCTTTCCGGAAGGAGGTAATGAAATTTCTGATAAATAGGGCAGGTAAGGGCTCAAGGAAGAAATTAGAAAAATAAAAGTGATAATGACCTTGGTTCTCCCCCAGGTTGGTAATATGGCTCATCTGGTTAGAGGACATTCGGTAACATTTTGCCTGATTTTCTTCTTGATGCAAGCTACCCCCAAGTAAGTGAATCTTTCCTTTTTTCTCTCCTTGATACGAAAACTCTTGAGTTTCTGCCTAGAATTGTTATTTTATTCTGGAAAAACATTCAAGAGAATTGGGTAGAATTATTTTATTCAAAACAGATGATGATATTCTGTTTGCTTATGGCATTTGCCAGAGTGTGCTTTGTATTACTCTTTATGGTATTTATTTTATAAAATGCTGTCATCTCTCCCAAGTAGTTGATATACAAAAGGACTAGGTATAATCTTGAACTGTTGCAAATGCTGTTATTGTGGTTTCGTAGCTCTTTTCAAAGTTGGCTTTATATTTTAAAAAGTTACTTATTGTAAAATATTTAAGTAAAGCGGAAAAATTAAGAGAGAAGATACTGGAAATTGTACTCATCATGATGACTATGTTGGTGCATATAGACACATGTAAGTATGTGTATACAGCTTTATATAAACACTGGTATTTTGCAACCAACAACCAGCATCATCACACAATAGTTTGTCATGGACACCTTTCCATTTTCATAAATGTGGACCTAGAAATCACTTATAATGATTGGAGGTTATCACAGTGTCTATAGCATAATTTACTTAATTAGTTCCCTATAAAGGCCATTTAGGTTGCTTCTGATTTTCCATCATTATAAACAATGCTGAACATCTCTGTGCCTACATTTTTGACATTTTTTGTAATTGTCATCTTAAGGTGGGGGCACCTGGGTGGCTCAGTCAGTTAGGCATCCGACATTTAGTTTTGGCTCAGGTCATGATCTCATGATCTCATGTGTCATGAGATCGAGCCCTGTGTTGGGCTCCTTGCTCAGTGGCAAGTCGGCTTGAAGATTCTCTCCCTCTGCTCCTTCTCCCACTTGTTCTCTCTCTCAAATAAATAAATCTTTTTTAAAAAAGAAAGAGCAGAAAATCTTTAAAAAAATTATCATCTTAAGGTAAACTCCTAGAAGTGGTATTGCTAGTAATAATATGCAAACATTTTGCAAAAAACATTTCTGAAAGGGTTATACCTGTTCATGTTTACTGTAACAGTCCATAAAAGCCTATTTCTCAATACCTTGCCCAAACAGGTTTTGTCAATATATTTAATCTTTGTCAGTCTGAGAGGCAGAAAAAGTTTACCTTTGTTTCAAAAATATTACAAATAAAATATTAAAAAAATTTTAAATTCATGTTTTCTGTACCCCCTTGGTGTCCAGTTCTACTCTATAAGATCCTCTATTTTATAGGGCACCTGGGTGGCTCAGTTGGTTAAGCGTCTGCCTTCGGCTCAGGTCATAATCTCCGGGTCCTGGGATGGAGCCCAGCGTCAGGCTTCCTGCTCAGTGGGGACTACTTCTCTCTCTCTCTCTCCCTCCTCTGCCCCTCCTCACCGCTCGTTCTCTCTCTCAAATAAATAAATAAAATCTTAAAAAAAAAAGATCCTCTATTTTAAATATTTCTACTTTTATTATTCATAATGACTATTTCTGTAAGTTTTTTTTTTTTAAAGATTTTATTTACTTATTTGACAGAGAGAGAGAGCGAGAGACAGAGAGAGATACAAGTAGGCAGACAGGCAGGCAGGCAGAGGGAGAGGAAGAAGCAGGTTCCCCGCTGAGCAGGGAGCCCGATGCGGGGCTCGAGCCCAGTATGCTGGGATCATGACCTGAGCCGAAGGCAGACGCTCAACAGACTGAGCCACCCAGGCGCCCCTATTTCTGTAACTTTTTAAAAAAGATTATTTATTTATTTATTTATTTGAGAGAGACAGAGATAACGAGAGAGAGCACGAGTGGGGAGGAGAGGGAGAAGCAGGCTCCCCATAGAGCAGGGCGCCCGACAGGGGGCTTCATCCCAGAACCCCGGAATCACGACCTGAGCCAAAGTCAGATGCTTAACCGACTAAGCTAGCCAGGCGCCGCATCTATTTCTGTAACTTAATACTGTTATATCTCTATGTATTTATTTATCAGCTTTAGGGAACATATTGACTTCCTTTGAATTATCAAGGACATGTGTTCTCATGGTCCTTTTCTGCCTGTTTTTCTGCATCCATCCCTGCTGTATCTATTTTATCCTACATTAATCTAGAGGCAAAAGTCAGTATTTGTTTGGATTTTCCAAAAAACCAAAAAATCCACTTATACAAATCTTTTATAAACAATATACATTCCCCACAGAGATTGGAGATAAGTTTATACTGAAGCAAAGCAAACAATTTTAATGGGCACAGAAGACATTCCCATTTTTAAAAGCTCCATTAGCTATCTATAGTTAATTAAAGATGGCAACCCGTTCTTGGTGATTCTCCCCACTAGAAGACGGGAGTTTATTTCCCGTCCCTTTGAATCTGGGCCATCCTGGTGACCACTTAACCAAGAGAATGCAGTGGAAATTAACCAGGGTCAGTATGAGGACTGGCAGAGCCTCTGCTTCCTCTCTCTTAGAATGCTTGTCCTCAAAACCTGGCCACCATGATGTGAGATGCTCTGTACAATATGCCCACCCAAGCTCCCAGCCAACTGCCAGCACCCACTGCCAGCCCTGTGAGTGAGCCTTCTTGGACATTCCAGTCTAGTTGAGTCTCCAGATGTTTGCAGCTCCAGCTGCCTGTGATCATGTGGAAATGGAAACTATATCCTAATGAACATGTGGATTTGGCTCAGCAGATTTCATTCGAGCTCCCAGATGTCTTCAGACCCAGCTCACATCATGTGGGGCAAAAAAAGCCTGCAGGTGAGTCCAGACTTAGGGTAGACTGTGCGAGAGAGATGCATCGCTGAGGCATGCCCAATCACAGGCCCTCTACTTCATCTCACCCCAACATCACCTTCTTTTGTGGGCTCCTCCCCACCTCTAGTCCTTCTGCCGACGCCACCATCACTTCTCTTCCTCTCAAGAGGCAAACTAGCCAAATTCCTCCTCTGGTCTCATTGAAAATATTTTTCCCCACCCTGGATAATTTAAGCCTGCTGAGCCAGGTTCTCAGTGAGCAGGAACTTACGGAGGCAGGAAATTATTTTCTTCCATGTAATGTTAGTTCTCTCCCAAAGGAGGATTGAGGAAGTGAAACTTTCTCTACAGATGGATCAGGGATAAGTGACACTCACTGCTTCCCACACATTCATAACTGAACAACTTCTCTTCCTTCCCTTTTTCATCCCTTCCTCTTCTCTTTCCTTCTCTTCTTCTTCCTCTTGTCCTGCCTCCTTGTTCTCCTCACCCTCATTCCTCTCACACCAAGAGGAGGTAAAACTGCACATGATGGGATGCCCAGTTGCTTTTTCAGACCAATCACTGTTCCAGTTTCAAAAAACAAATGACCTCACTGCAGAACCCAGAGTCCATCAACAAGTGTTAGATGATGATGGAAATGAATTAATCAACACATTCATTAAGCACCTGTTCTCTGGAAGGTACTGAGCTAGCCAGTGGGGAAGAAATCAAAGATTATGTGACATTGGCTCACACATTTCTTCTCCCATTTTTATTTTCTGCACCTCATGTACATGGCATGACTCTCATTCTAGTCTATTAACTTAAACATGTTTACTGAGTGCTGCCGATATCTCGGGAACTATAGAGGTAAGCGCCTTTAGGAGGGTTCCTTTAGCTCCTTACATTCTCTCCCTGTACCAGTTTCCTAGGGCTGCTGTAACAAAGTACCACAAACAATAGAAATTCATTTTCTCATAGTTATGGAGACCAGAAGTCTGAAATCAATGTGTTGGCAGGATCATTTTCCTTCTGAAGGCTCTAGGGGAGGATCCTTCCCTTCCTTGCCTCTTCCACATTCCGGTGGCTCCAGGTGTTCCTTGGCTTGTGGTGGTGTCCCTCCAGTCTCTGCTTCTGTCCTCAGATGGCCGTCTTCCCGCTGTGTCCGTATCCAAATGTTCCTCTCCTTATGAGGACACCATCCATGTTGGATTAAAGGCCCCTTCTGTTCTAATATGGCCTCCTCTTAACTTGATTAATTCTGTAAAGACCTTATCTCCAAAAAAGGTCATATTTTTTTTTTGGCAGAGGACACAATTCTGTAACTCTTCTCCCCTTTCTTCACACATCTGTACCCTCCATTCTCATGTGTCTGAACCTCAGACCAACCTCCTCTTCATTTCTAGCTGTAAACCAAACCCTTCGTCTCTCCTGGTGGTGATGCTGCCTTCCTTGGAGGTGGATCACAGAGGCCCAGAGGTGAATAAAGGAGGGAAATGTCTTTAGAGTGACAAATGTCTCAGCAATTGCTTTCTCTCTCCCACTCTCTCGGTGTCCTGCCATCTTGAACATACCACCCACTGGTAAACACCCTGGAAGGAAAGAGCTGAGGAAAAAGAAGGGAGATAAAGATGAATAAATTCTCTAGATAATTATAGCACACAATTAATCTAATTAAGCGAGTATTATTCAACCACTTTCATAATACCTGCCAGAAGGGTGTCAGATTTTGATGAAGTGCAGCAGTAGATTTCTAAATAAGTAGGAAAGGATTACAGTTCTTGACTTCGGCAATAAAACTTTTAATAAATCCATCAACTCCATCTCACCCATTTTACGTTTCCTCCAGTGGGTCCTGCCTTTACTGACAAGTGGGGTTTGCAATTGGACAGCAGGTCATTGGTGCCTAATACTTGAGTGATTTCAATCAGATCAACCAAAGCGCTGGCTCATGTAAATGCTGATGAATACACTTTATCATGCTGAGCCAGCTTCTGGTATGGAGAAGACGGTGCCTCTGGTGTCTGCTCTCTTTACTCATTCACACGAGATTGAGGGCTTGTGGTCAGATTTTAACGGACACAAGTGTATTATCTCAATTGTTGACGATCTGTTTTCCAGTGTCTCTTTCCCATATAAAGGGACATTAATGGCCTTCACTGCCCTGATTTCTGGCATCCCAGGTGGGAAAATGAAGAGAGCCATATTGTGGTGACACATTTCAAACCAACTCCTACAGACGGTGAGCTAGCTCAGAGGCAGGTAAGAAGGGCTGTTTTATTAGTTTGCTAGGGCTG